TATATACATCATCATGACTAGATAGACACGGTGAGTTTGTCTTTACTATACGTTACACGTTAGATGTGATCCCCCTCATAGTAACAATCCTGTCAGATCGTCCATCCTTTGAGTATAATGTGTAACGTTACAGGTCGGCCGATCTGGTTTCATGGTTAAAGTAAAATTTTTCGACATGTTTCTGTGTTGTCCTTGCTCAGCAAAAGCATGGATGCGATGTTGTCTGGGGTTTGGCAAAAGGAGAGTGGGACGGTGGGCGGTGCTCGGGGTGGTGACTGAAGGCGGTGACTGTGTAGTTCTGACGTCAACTTTTTACGGAAGTCACAACGGTTCGTGAAAAATAGCTAGAACTTTAAGCAGGCTGTGTGAATTTTACTGTGGACTGACTGTTTTGAAACGTGTATATGGTAGTTAAATAGCCTCTAGACCTCAGTAATCGTGAAAAAAGTCAGGGAATTTCAGTTTTGACAATATGGGACCTTTAAATAACGTTTTCCTAATATAAGGCCTTAAAAAGTCTTAAAATGTCTTAAATTCTGATTCAATGGGTCTTAAATATTTTTGGTCTCATTACTGCTAAAATATCTTCAGTCTGACGGACCCAATGGCTGTTTACAATCATTGGACAGACCAAAGATTTTTTCTTCCCCGCGGTAAGTTACTGTGTCATCAGAGAGAATTGCAGTAAGTTAGCAGAATACAAGGTCGCGCTGAGGCTCACTCTGTTTGTCTCGAGACTTCAGAACAAATGAGCGTGACAGCACACATAAATTCAGAAGAAACACACTGAGGTAAAAATTCTAAATGTTTAGTTTATTCATAACATAATGCCTGTTTTTGCACTATTTCGCCAACAAAAATAATTCCAAACCAAAATTCTCAGTTTTGCGTCTCTGAGCAACATGACAGCGTTTTGTTCCTGAATGAATCAACTGTTTAAATGATTCGGTTAAATCGCAATGACTCCCTTAACAGTGACTTGCTGCCACCTACTGGCGGTTTTAATTTCACTTTTAAAGTATCTTTTCATTTTTTTAATTTTCAAATATCAGTATTCAATGTTTTATATTTAATATATCAAAACATTATTTATGCATTTGTAACATCAGGTTAAATGCGTTCATGTCGTGCATTAAACTGTGTGTAAATACATCTCTAAATGCCTCTTCAGGTGCAGCTTATGTCTGGATTGCAAAGATGAATTTAGTTGATACTGATTTCATTTGCTTGGTAACAGCCCAAATGTCTTATTATTCTAATTCACTGATTAAGTGTAAGAATTTGACTCAAAAGATGACGCACACTTATAGAAAAATGGCTTTATAAAGGTAAAAATCTATTTAAACTTATTGGAAAAGATTCATTTCTGTCTGACCACCACACTAGTGTAAATTATTTAACCTGACATATAGCAGCCCTATAGTGTGTATTGAATGTATTGATAAATTGTAATAATTTGACATGAAAGATGATGCATACATCTAAAAAGGTTAAACATAGGCCTTTGTAAAGGTAAATATGCAGATTTAAGTATGTAAAAGCATGTAGCAGCCCTATAGTGTGTATTGAATGTATTGATAAATTGTAATAATTTGACATGAAAGATGATGCATACATCTAAAAAGGTTAAACATAGGCCTTTGTAAAGGTAAATATGCAGATTTAAGTGTGTAAAAGCTGATAGAACACTGATGAAAATATTGCTTCAGAATAAATTGTTTACTCCACCAAAAATCTAATTGATTCAAAATAACTGCATGCAAATATCATGCTGACATGAAAAGTTCACTGTCTATCGTAGAAATAAATATAATTTATTACAGCATGATATTTTGTTTTCTTTTAAATTTTTACACATTAAATATTACATATATGTATGTAATAAAAATGTGTATTTCCATTACAGGTTTAGGTCTTAAATTTTATATAAGGTGGTATTAAAAAGGTCTTAAAAAGTCTTAAATTTAACTTGTGCATGTCTGCAGAAACCCTGTATGAGAAGCAAAATAAAGAAATATGGGTGTGTAGTGTACCTACTATGAAAAATAAAATATAAATAAAAAATATAAAATAAAATTAACACATAATTCACTTTGTGAAAGTTATGTACAGTACTGTCACAAAAATAAAATGTTTCTGCATTTTCCTCAAATAACTTGCTTAAAGCGTATATTTATATATAGCCAGTATATAAACTGTCTTTGGTGTTTCAGGTGAGCCACAGAGATGTGGAAACAGAAAAGCGTCTGAGGAAAGACCTGAAGCGCACAAAGGCCTTGCTGGCTGATGCCCAGATCATGCTGGATCACCTGAAGAACAATGCTCCCAGCAAGAGAGAGATCGCTCAGCTCAAGAACCAGGTCTGTTCTTCGGCTCCCCTGGGTTCTGTAGTTAACACATCATATATGACATCCAGTCATGAACATACATTTTATTTATGTGTGTGTGTGTGCTCTTCACAGCTCGAGGAATCAGAGTTCACGTGTGCTGCTGCAGTCAAAGCCCGAAAGTCAATGGAAGTGGAGATCGAGGACCTCCATGTCCAAATGGATGACATATCTAAATCCAAGCAGGCGGTAAGTCTGTCTGTATTTGAAAAAGAACAAAACCGAGTCGTTTTGCTTCTTTTATATTAGAGTCATCTCACACACAGAGACAAAGGACACTACCTGTCTTCATCCACCATAGGTGGCAGCCAGGATGTCATTTAAATTATTTACCACGGGGAAATGATTTCTGCCCATAATGGCACGTTACCGATGTCGGCTCTAATTTGAACAGGATGTATCGGCGTGAAATGTATTACACTTTAATAATTCTGTCATTGATTCAGTGTTATTTCAGCGTGGAGAAAATTGTGTAATTGTGTCCTCGCTGTAGCGTATTATGAAGTGATATCAGGAGAGACGGATGCAGCCAAATTCTGCAGATGCTGTTCCCCTGACACTGTCTCCATATTGTTTCGCCGCCTGTCATATTTGCTCAGCTCTCTGGAGCAAGAGACACTCTGACAGAAGGGTGCAGTGAACATTTTAATTTTCTATAAAGCCGCAGCCATGCTGAAGCATTGTTTTGGTGCAGTGTTTTGTGGGCATTGCTAAACCCATCTCTCTTCAAAATATTGTCATATTGATTAGCAAGACCATGATAAATGGTCATGATCACTGTGTGATTAGCTTCAGGTCTGTCTGTCACCCCTCCCCTCCCCGGGAGCTCATGGATTTCCACTAGAGGATTTGAAGGTGGCACATAGGTTTGATACAATACACCTGCCAGACAGAGTTTAAAGGTGTGAAATGGAACTGTACAGACTATAGGGAATATCTTTTAGCAGTATCTTGTGTTAAAAGAGAACTGGATTTTCATTTCTATGTAGACATAATCCTGCAAAGCCAGTCCATGCATGTCATTTATGAAAACTTAAAAAATAGGTTATTGAGAAATCATCATAATATTGATGCCATTACCACAAGCACACTATCATATGGCCACAAACATTCACACAACTGTTCAGAAGTTGGAGGTTGTGCGATTTTAAACTTTTTAAAGAAGTCTCTTATGCTCACCAAGACTTTTATTTAAAAAAAATGTAATATTGTGAAATATTATTACAATTAACAACAGCTCTTTTCTATTTGAATGCATTACCAAATGTAATTTATTTTATTTTATACTGTTCCCAAGTTTGGGCCTAGTAAGATTTTTTTTTTTTAAATGTTTTTGATAATCTAGTCTGTATTTATTTGATCAGAAATGCAGTAAAAACAGTAATACTGTAAAACATTATTACAATTTAAATCAATGTTGAAAACAGTTGTGCTGCCTAATATATTTGTGGTAATCATGATACATTTTTTCCAGGGTTCTGTGATGAATCGAAATTTCAAAAGAACAGCATTTATTTGAAATAAAAATCTTTTGTAATATTATAAATAATATTATAACGCATTTACTGTCACTTCAAATCAATTCAATGTGTGCTTGCTGCATAAAATGATTAATTAAAAAAATCTTACTGATCCCAAACTATTTTATAAGGCAATTTTTACATTTAGTAAGATTAACCAAGTCATTCACTTTTAGGCCTTTTAAAGAAACAGTAGGAGTCTGTTTTTGATCAAAGAGGGTAAAAATGGTGATATTTTTGGTGCATAATAGGGAAACAAGTAAGATTATCTTTAAAAAGTGCAGAATATAACCCCTTTCATTTTAATTCATTTGTCTTGATTTGTTAAAGAGATGGAATGTGTGAAAGAAATTGCAAACTGCTTTCATGAGGATGTTTTTACAAAATGTAATTTCCTGCTTTTATGCTCACTAATTCATAAGTAATGTACGACGTCTAAATTTTTTGCTTTTACTAATACATTTGAAAGTTACTCCTCAGAGATTAGCTGCCTGTATTGTTGAGGTAATTATTATTGACCTCTAATACTGTTTGACAGAGCAGGCAGTGAAATGTTCATCTCTAATTGGGAGACGGTGCTGTGTTCTCAGGCAGTAAAATACAATGCAAGCAGCTACTGTTTAGTGATGGGGTGACAGGAAAATTATCTCTTTAAGGAATTAAAGGAGCTGGGCTTTCAGTTGCTGAAGTCAGAATGGTTACATGCGTATGTTCTTGACATGCATAGGGCAGAGGTTTGAGTCTGACTGCGTTGAGTCTGTGGCCTATTCGCTGCTGTCTTTATCAATAAAAATAGCTTAAAAAAACATTCTGGCACCCAATCAGTTCCTGATGCATAAACTTAAGACCTGCTAAAACGTCAAGCATTTCAATCAGATTGATTGTTTTCCATTTCTTAGACATTTTTTATTTCAATTTGCAGTCATATTTGTGTTTGTCTTATGCTTTTGTTTGATTTCCATGTAGCTTGAGGAGCAGCTGAGTCGATTGCAGAGGGAGAAGAATGACATGCAGTCTCGCATGGAGGAGGATCAGGAGGACATGAACGAACTCATGAAGAAACACAAAGCCGCTGTTGCCCAGGTAACTCTCAGGCACTCATGCTTGTCAGATCGCTATACAGAGCCTCTCTGTCATCATCGCACGTAGAGTAGATGTATATGTTTGTGTATGTACATTTGTTTTTTTTTTGTATCCTAAAAATTCAATGTGAATAAAATTGTTAATTATACATCAAATTAAATGACATTTAATGAAATATATTTAATTTATATATATAAATATATATATTAAATAACAGATTTATAGATGGATATATATCCGTGATATATAGTGTGTGTGTATATATATAATATAAAAATAGGCATTTTTCACACTGCACATATTTCACGAAGCCATATTTCACAGGTTACAGCATTCACAGCAAGCAGAGTACTATTGCATAGCAAGAGCAGCGTGAAACAGGCCTAAAAAGCATTTTTATTCACAGTTGTGTTGTCCTTTTTGATTATATAGTTTTTGACGCCGTGCATATTGCATGCTACATCATTTCAGCATGTTTGACATTTTCCAGTATGATTAATTGCTGTTTCTCTGCAACATGCTTCCATCATGCAAATCAAACCGACAACATCATTTAGCGTGTACAGATAGACCACTTTGTATTTCTCTCTTTGGTTGGTCGCTCGTGGCAGTGTGAAGGTGTCACTGCAGCGATTGTCATGTATTTGAGCGTGTGGGTTGATTGTCATTAAGAGTGTTTTAAACACAGCATGCTGCTATGGCAGCGATGTAGAGATGAGTGATGTGTCTTCACAGACCCTAAGTAAACAGATCCTCTCCAATGGAACAGCCCTATTCCCCTGGGTTTACTTCACCAGCTCTATGGTTCATTTATGGGAACACTGCACAGGTTTTGAAACACAGTCACAATCATACTTGAGGCATTTAGACAGTCTCGTAGTTAACTCTCTCTCTGCTTCATTTCACTCATGCTTCTGTTAACATGCCATTTATTGCTGCCATTTTTCTCTGAGATGTCATTAACAGACCATAAGATTGCTTGTCTGTCAGTAGTTAAATGGTTTGGAGTATGCTGTAAGATATATCACCAAAATAACATATGATCATTAGGGCTGTTTATCACCAGCAAAGTCACGATACGATACGTATCATGATACAGAGGCCACGATACGATGCATATCACGATACATGACTGCACTGAATTTCACCTCAGCAGAATTTAGAAAAACAGCTGTTTATCAAACACTACTTACTATAGTGCCATTTCTAACTATCGGCAGAGCAAACAGTTGACCTCTGCATTATGAAGGGCCTCCGAAACTGTACCACAGTGCAATATAGGTAATTGCATGTTTCATGTTTTCATTGTGCACTCCCCACCAGGTACAATATTCTGATTGTTTGCATCTTGTTTTTAAGCCCATAAATAATAATGTACTCATTCTAATAAATTTATATTGTAATGTACTCATTCTAATATGTTTAAAAAATAATTTACATTGCTGGTAGGTTATCATTGCACAAATTAACACACTCTCTACAATAAAAAAAAAAAATTAGAAGTGTTCTAAACTAACGCGCTGTCTTCACTGTATCTAACGCACACACGCTCAAGGCTGATTTATTGCTGATTTATACTCGATGCGTCCGCAAGTTTGCTTTGAGTGCGCGCGACGTCGTTTTGCGTGGCGGTGTGCACAACATTTTTTGTAACTTTCCGCGCAGCTCCGCTTCCGAAGATGCACGAGTTCATCTCAAAGCGACTCTAGCCGAACATGCACATCTGTGCCAGCATTTGTGTAAAACAAGCAGTTTGGTGTTAAGTTCAGTCACACACACCGATCACGTTGCGGCCGAACTCAGACATTCAGGAACAAACTTTTTAGTGCTGCCCCGCAGTTTTATCAACTAAATAGCTTAATCGCTCAAGAGCTACATTATCTTTCATTATCAACAAGGATCTGGTAGCATCATTGTTTCTAAAGGAATTAAAGCCATAGCTTTACTGTTAATAGAGAAACGCGGCAAAACGGTGGTAATTCATACATACACAGCATCTCTCTCTGTCGTAAATGAATAGTTGATGAATCACACTTTTCTGAGAATAGAAGATGGAAGTGGAGATCGCTAAACTGCAAGCTAACCGCTGTTTTCAGAAAGCAAGCGCGTTTATCCACAGTGGAGAGAGAGCGAATTTACTTTTTTAATGTAGAATCAGACTCCACCCCCTCAGCATTTGAATCTTTAATTATATGATCAAACTCCACTTCCTCAGCATTTGAATCTTTAATTATATGATCAGACTCCGCCTCCTCAGCATTTAACTTTTTTATGTAGAATCAGACTCCACCCCCCTTACCGTTTGGCTTTTTGATGATATGAACAGACTCCACCCCTCAGTATTTGAATCTTTAATTATATGGCCAGACTCTGCCCCCTCAGCATTTGAATCTTTAATGATAGGCTCAGACTCCAACCCTCTCAACCGTTGACTCTTTGATGATGGAATCAGACTACACCCCGTCAGCATTTGAATCTTTAATTATATGAACAAATTCTGATCTCTCAACGTTTGACTCTTTAATGATATGAAAAGACTCCACCTCCTCAGCATTTGAATCTTTAATGATATTGACAGACCAAACGCTTGGAGGTGAGTTGGCAGGATGCATGTGTTTATGTGGGATGCTGGAAGTGTCAAAAGATCAGCACGCAGGCATTGAAGTGTCAGATAAGGGTGAAATTAATCTACACACTCACCAGACCTTGCCCATTGGTCCACGCTTTATAGACCTTTAACTTTTGTACTAAAAGTGTTTTACAATTCTCCACCAAAAAATGTCACTATGAATTGAATGTGGAGTATTTCAGACCCCGTCTGTGTTTTTCAAATCAACAGTGTCAGTCCCACTTTTAAAGAGGAAATGTACATTTCATTTCATGTGTGATATTTTATGTTGCCGGAGGCAGCGGGTAATCGGTTTTTGCATTGTACACAACTAGTGTAATTAATGTGTTTAATTAATGCACATTATTTCAGTGTCTTGTATTGTTTGATTTGATGGGTTTTTTTGCTCCTTAAATGACATTTTCCAACCGCCAGTCCTCTTCATCGTTCATCTCTGTTGGGTGCTCCCACTCACCTGCAGAATTACAATTGGCACTCTGCACAAATTACAAAAGTCTACTGCGCCCACAGCAAAATCTGTCAACAGAAGCCATTTAAAAGCGCTGTTATTACTGATTTGTTGGACGTATAGCTTAGTTCAGGCTTGGGCAATGTTATCTCTAGAGGCAGCTTGTTTAAACCGTGCCCATCTGAAGCTGTAAAGAATGTCTGTTTTCCTAATCTAGATATTTCTGTTTCAATGCCAGCGCAGCCCACCTTTGGTGTGAAAAATCACAGAAAAGTTGCTGTGGATGTTATTTGGAGTTTCACACCATATGGATAGCTTGACAATCTTGCATATTTCAGTGCTAGACTTGCAGAATTCTGTAAACAACCACTGTCGGTCCAGAAACACTTAGGCGATGGTACATGTTCTTGCTCCGTATATGTGTTAAATAAATGATTGCGTCTTCTGCAGAGCCTTGTAGCGAGGCTGAAAGAGAATCTCGAGAAGTTGACTGAGGAACGAGACCAACGCAGTGCCAGTGAGAACCGGGAGAAAGAGCAGAACAAGCGTCTCCTGAGGCAGATCCGAGACGTCAAGGAGGAGATGGCCGAGCTGGCCAAGAAGGAAGCGGAAGCCAGCCGCAAGAAACACGAGCTGGTGAGAAGCCTGATCTGCTGTTCTGCATCACTGAAGTTCTCATTCTGAAGTGTCTTGAGGGGATAGTGCACCCAAAAAACAAAGTTCTGTGATTGTTTACTCAACCTCGTGTCATTCCAAACCGGTTTAACTTCTTTCCTCAGCAGAACATAAAAGAAGATATTTTGAGGAATGGTAGGAACATTAAAGCCTGTTGACTTCCATTGTATAGACAAAAAAAACTAAAACACTGAAACTTTTTCTCAGAATATCTTCTTTTATATTCCAGGTTTGGAATTACATAATATAATGATAAATGATGGCAATTTTAATTTTTGAGTGAACTATCCCTTTAAGCATGTGATGAAAGCAGAAATGTTACATACACCCTATATGGACCCCCTAGATAACAGGTTTGATTAAACCTCTTAATTCCAGACAGATTGTAAAATTATAGCATACAGTGACATTCTAAAAACATGGTGTGCAACATTTTGGCAACAGTTTGAAGAGGGCTCTTTTCTCTTCCAGCATGATATGAGGTCCATAAAGAAATGATTTACTAAGTCTGGTGGTGAGAAAGAAATTGATTGGCCTTCATAAAGTTCAGACCTGAACCCCTTTGGGATGAATAGGAACAGGGAGTCCACCGTCAATATTGCCTGACCTCACGGATCAGGGTCAAAAATGAACTTTTTTTGCCCAAGGCCACCATGGCTGATGAATGCAGAATTTTACTTTGCCAATTCAGATATAGAAAATAATGGAAGAAATGTATGAATTATTACATTTTGATAGATGTGTTCTGTTTTTCACAACTGAATTTATGTGAATTGAATATTTAAAGAAGAGTCAGTTACAAAATAAATAAACAAACAAACAATTAAATAAATAAATCATGATTTACTAAAGATGCACTGATATGAAAATTCTGGCTAATACAGTCTAGCTACTAATTATTTTGACCAATAATCAATAAATGGCTAATTCAAATTCTATTTTCTATTACATTTTGTCTTAACCCCCCCCCCCCCCCCCCCCCACCAAAAAAAAAACAATAGAAACATTGTTTCATTATACCAATACTACAAATTGATTTAGGCATCACAAAATTTTAATTTAATACAATTTTTATGTACAGCTGTTATTTTAGTATTATTTATATACTTTATTATATATTAATATTTTGAATGATCTTTTTTTTTATTTTTAAATTTTCATTTAGTTCATTTTTATTAGTTTGTTTTTTAAATATTTCTATAGTTTTAATTTATTTTTTTGCGTTAGTATTAGTAATTTTAATTATTAAACTTTATTTTTTAATTTAGTTGCCATGTAACATTTCAATTTTTATGTATTAAATATTTTTATCTAATATTTATATTTTTTCAGCTTTTTGATATTTTAGTTAACAGTAACAACACTGATGTACGGTGAGAAAAATGGATATTCACTCTAAGATTCATAAAAGATTACATTTAACAGTGTACTTAAATTATTACTGTTTTTTAATAATACCTTTATGGGAATGTTAGATGACCATAGCAAAAATAATCTAAATGTAGAAATAGGCAGAAACGAGTGCCTCTTAGTTAGACTGAAATCTAACCTTGTCCCTTCAGGAAATGGATATTGAGAGTTTGGAAGCGGCCAACCAGAGTCTCCAGGCGGATCTCAAGCTGGCCTTCAAGAGGATCGGAGACCTCCAGGCTGCTATTGAGGATGAGATGGAGAGTGATGACAATGAGGATCTCATAAACAGGTAACACTTGCTGCTTTGAGGACTCTTTATTTAATGCATGCCTCAGGAGAGCTTCTTCATGTGTATAAGTGGGTAAAAAAGAGATAGAAAAAGAGAGAAGACACTATCTGGATGAATGCACTGTTCACTGAGCTTTTGGAGACGGCAATCAGCGAGCCAGTCTCAGTCTCAGTCATCTCTTATTCACACTCTCTTAAATATTTATGCCTCGAAAACTGCCGCACATAATTTGCAGGTCCTTTTTTATGTACTTGGTCTCATCAGTCAGAGGAAGTCATCTCCGTTCAGTCTCATTCCGTGCCGCTCCGCTTCTCTCAGTGACCTGCACCTTACTGCGCAGAGCTGAGTTTATTTGCTCGTTTATGTGCGTAGAAGAATTCCAGTCACCCAAATAACAGGAAATAGCACCACACTCTCACTTCGTAACGGTTACATAGAGCAGAAGTCAGCAAAAGGTCAGAATTCTGGGTAAACATCTTGAGCAATATGTAGCGCTAGAAACCTTTACACCAGACATGATAAATATTCAATCTCAAGCTGTGTTTTTAAGACACTCACTTATTTCTGCTTCTTGTTTTTTATGTTTGTGTCTCATTTCCCTCCCACCTCTAGTTTACAAGACATGGTGACTAAGTATCAGAAACGAAAGAACAAGATGTGAGGAGTTAAAGTTTGAACTTACGTTAACATTAGAATTCTCCTTTGCCCTCACAGGAAGATGATGCAGTATACAATACCTTGCAGTCATTTTCGAGAAATGAAATCCAGAATAGGGAATATTCTGTATTGTAAATCTCGATTTCGACTCAAGAAAAGACTAGAAGCATCATGTTGATACTGCAACACACTTCCGCGCATGCCAACTAACATCACAAACATGGTTTTCTCCTTTTTTTTTTTTAATGCACAATGCCTCATACATAATGTATGCGTACTACAAACTGCATGCTTTTTCTAAGCCAAGCATGGTCCCTACTCAGTTACCCTCCCCAGAGACGATTTCCTTTCCCTGAACCCCTGCTTTGTAATGTTGAACTTTTGGATATCTGGTGCTTCATCATTGGGACTGGCATCCATTGACGGGTAAGAACCATTTTGAGAGCAGGCAGGTGTTAGTTACATGTCCGCAGGGTCCAAACTGTGGTCTATCCCCTGGCTGTCTAACTCGAGAGCCAGAAGGGTCCACATGCAGACTTGTTGGACGCTGCAGGGCCTTGTACAAACATCTGCGAGGGGTTGCTCTGCCCTCCCTCTTTCTTGGCCTTCTTTTACCTCTCTTTCTCTCTCTCGTTCCTTTGAATAATTCACACTTCTGTTCTTGGGACCTAGCAGCCTCTTAAGGCAGGAAAGGAAGGCGTGTTCCTCATCAATCTTTCAACCATGAGGGCTAAATAATGAATAACCCTCAAATGTCCTACAAAAAGCCCCCCAACTCATCTGGCAACGGCCTACAACAAAGTACCAGCCCTTGGCGTCGAGCCATTTCACTCCCCTGTCAATAGTCCTCGGTCCGCACTGTATGTCACTTAGAGCGTTTTCCAGTTTTAAAAACCCTTAAGCTCTAAGCACCACTTATTACATCATGTGAGAAAGTATTAAAAGCTAATGCCAGTCTGTGCATTACTGATCAGGTTTAGATGGATGTGCCATTGCAGAAATGTTTGTTTGAGTTCATGCAGGGATGTTGACCCTTCTGGCCTGATCATTTAATTGGGGAGTTCTTGTTGCTTTATTGTAAATAATACTGGCTTCAAGAGGTTTGTTAGCTAAATACAAACCTTAGTGGAGAACATTAGTAGAGAACTGATTATTCTGATTTTCCCAGCGCATATGTGAGAATAGACAGGGCATAACAAATGACAAATGAGGAGAACAGATATTTTGAAATGAGATATAATTAGGAGCACTGTTCCTCGGCCCCTTTCATGAGCGTATATTCTACTCATTAGCTAAATACAAACCTTAGTGGAGAACATTAGTAGAGAACTGATTATTCTGATTTTCCCAGCGCATATGTGAGAATAGACAGGGCATAACAAATGACAAATGAGGAGAACATATTTTGAAATGAGATATAATTAGGAGCACTGTTCCTCGGCCCCTTTCATGAGCGTATATTCTACTCCGTGACATGATTTAAAAATTGTGTTTACAATATATCATGAATGATTTGAAATATTTATGGTTAATCAGTGACGGCAAAATTCAGTGTCTTAGTGACTAACTATAAGTGCCGGAACATAAATGAATCGTAAAACATTAAAACTAAAATGTGCAGAGTAGATGCACCTAATTACATTCTAACTGAATAAGAGTTTTTAGTGTGTCCGTGTTATTTTAGCATTATATATACTACTGAAGTATTTATTCATATTTTGAATTCGCTTTTATTTCATATTTTTAGTTTTCATTTTATTTTTAGTTACATTTTATGTGCTTTTGTCATTTTTTTATATTTAGGTTAATTTATTTTTATTTTAGTATTTATATTTCAACTTGAACTTTTTTCAGTTACATTTTAAATTTCTGTTTAGTTTAACCTTTTCATATAATATTTATATTTTATTTTCAGCTATATTTCAATTAACAAAAATGTTTTTCATAGTTTTAGTTTTAGTTAACTATAATCCTGGTTTAGATACAGTGCAGACATGCATGTAAAGAGGCATTTGGCATGAAGGGAAATGTTTTTCACATTGTTAATAAATATTCAAGTACAGCTCTCAATCGATTTAATAATTGAATCAAGTGGTTAATTAAATGAATTGCAATTAGTCACATAAATTTCAAGTATTGTTAATTTTGCATTAGTATGTTCAGAAAGGACACAAAAGCATAGTAAAAGTATAATAAAACAGTAGTAGTCCATGCTGTCTGTTAATCAAACAAAGCTATCTTGATTTCAAAAGACTTAGAATATTGTACCCAAGTTGTATTTTTTATATATTATGACACTTTTATTGTTTTTTTTTGTCATTTTGCAGCTTAACAGCCCTAGTTCCCATTCTTTGTATTTGTGGTTTTGAAAAATTTTATTATTTTAATTTCACAGAAGATAGTCATGTTGGTTTGGAATGACATGAGGGTAAATAATAACCATTGCTTTAATTTTTTAGGAACTATTCCTTTTTCCCCTCAGTTATTTCATGTTTAGACAGATGTTAGACATGTTTTGAGTTCATATACAATTAAAGAAATTGTCAGAGACAAAGCCAGGAAACTGTTGCACAATATAAAAGTCCAAATTCTCCCCGTTTAAGGGTCAGGGCTGGAGAGCACGCAGGATAGAGAGAGAAAACAGAGTAGAGAGACGGACTAGAGAGGAAAATAGAGGGGTTGAGAGAGTTCTGTAGGTACTAATGATAAATGTAATAGCCTGTAACAGAGATGTACAACCAATGGAGGCACGTTGTCACAGACAATTAATGTCTCTCCTCTCTCACTGTGTTGTTTGTTTGTTCCCCTGGGCTTAGGTGCAGTTTAACTAATGGTATATGGTCAAGGACATAAATTGTGTGAGACATTTTGCATTAGCGTTTCATTACAAAGACCCTGCAGTCCAACTGTTTAGCGATGGGCCGGCTAGCAGAGCTCAAGGCTTATTCACACAACGTTCTCACCTCGGTTTACCTCCAGGGGCACTAGGGCTTACGCAAGAGCCAAAAGGGCTCTTGAAGAAATACATACTTTGGCACTCGTAAGTTGCCTGCCCGTATCGACGGAGCGCTACTCGTTTGACAGCAAATGATTTTGTCCTGAGTGTTTTCTCTTGAGTGTATCAGATCTTCTCATTTAGACCCTCTCTAGCACCCTGACTGTGAGCGTACAGTTAGTGTTTAGCGACATCTGCACTGTCTCGTGGGTCCATGCATATATAATATTCTCATATGCATAATACCACAAACGGAGAGCTAAGCAGTCCGGAACTCTAATGTCAGAGAAAAGCAGCTGCTACTTCAGAGTTAACCTTCTCTCTACGCCTAGGATAATGAGCTACTGTATGTAGTATAATTTCATAGGGAGATATTTGACTCCAACGGTGCTGGAGGACAATAACAATGATTATTAAAATTTAAATTGAAACAAAATTGTGAGAAAAGGCCCAGTTCGAAAGAAATCTTCTTTAAAGGTCTCTTGTCTGTGCATATATGGAGACGTTTTAGCGCTCTAGGTCCTTGAAGGGCGATTCATAGTTATTCAGTGCGGGGTGCTGTGCGATAAGTGAACGATAAGACTAATCTAAAGAGGCAGGGAAGCATTGACTTGCAAATCCAGCCAAACATAAATCCAATGGTTTTATCTGGTCCAGAGAAATGAGCAAACAGGACTGGGATTCACAGTGCTGCTTTCCGTGTGAGGTGCTAATGTATCTGCTCCCAGGGACATTCGGCCTGTGTTTACTCGTTCTTATTGACAGCGCAACACTTCCCCACAAATCCCATTCGTATCCAGAGATGCATGGTATTGGTAGCATAGTGAGTCAAGTTAATTGCAGTCCCAAAATGGCCCGTTCCTTCATACTGTCCTTTAACATGGTAGTCCAAGGCTAAATTAGCCTGAAGGCCTTCTTTATATAAAAGAGGATTTTTCACAAGCTTTGTACTACCTATTATTCCTAATTCAGCTTTTATTCAACTATGCATCACAGTATTTTTATTTAGCTGTTTCAATGGCTAGTTAGCCGCCAACTGCCTACATAGGTACACCTAAAATCAGGAGCATGTTAATGATCCCTTAAAATGCTGCCTCCGCAGGCAGCCAGCTAGATTTTAGAAATGAGCTATTGTCTGGTAAGCTACAGTCTGAATAGGTTTTCTCTTTAAATGCTCTCCTTTCTTCTGGTTTGGCTTGGAGTTGTACTGACCTCACCCTTTTGGATGCTTCACACATTACACAAAGCCAGCTAGCTGCAGGATACTGTTGTTGGACTATGAGTCTGACTTACTAACACATAGGCTTTTTCCAGGTTTCTAGAGTGCGGGCGCATGTTTCCGTTCTGTTGTGTCTCCACCGCAAATCCCTGTGTTCCTCCTACTAACAGTATTTATGTACAAACTCTGCTTGTTCATTTTATTGACATTCCCTCTCTTCCTTCTGCACAGCGAGGGTGCCTCTGATACCGACTCTGAGGTGGAGGGCCGCGTTGACGGAGTGAAGTCATGGCTGTCCAAAAACAAGGGCTCTGCCAAGAACCTGTCAGATGATGGTAGTCTGAAGAGCTCAAGGTCAGTCCTGCAACCTCATTTCCCCCTGTTACCCCACAGAATGGTTTAACCCAAACCCAATGCAGCAAGCTAGAAAAGGGTGTCTGGAAAAGCTAATCAGCTAACGCTAAGGGATTTTTCTGTTGGTATTTTCTAGTTTATTCTCCCCATTGTCAGCAGTTTGATAACAGAGGCTTATATAAAAGGGAATGGCTTCACAGGCAGATTAATGGATATGCCCACTGGCCAGTTGGCAAGCCAACCTATGCCTTTCTGCTGAAGATGAATGTCTTCCCACCGGCAGACACTTTAGATTTTTTTCTCTGCTTTTTACCAGAAGATTTAAGTTTGGCTCTTGAAGTTCTTGCATCTTTTTAAAACCTTGAACTTTTGATGCATAGTTTCTGTAAGGTGCAGGTTTATGGGAAATTGGTTACACATTACAATCTCTAATTTTTTATTAACATTTTCTAGCATAAATCATCCTGTAAAGGGAATTATAGTCTTTGTCAGTATCCGTTTTTATGCAATTACCTGAAACATGTCCACCTAAAAGGATCTTTTTGTCCACATTTATATGTAGATACCTGAGCTTATGGATTAACTATTGATTTTAAATCACAGAAGCTTAAGAGTCTTCCTTAAGTGCCTTGTATTCCCTGCTGTCACATCAAGCTTTCATCTATATTCTACCCTGTCTGTTTGGATACACCTGTACTGTTATTTCTCTCTTTGGGTGTCAGTCATCTTTTAATTTTTTATTCATGTATTTTCTCATTCTCATTCTCATATTTCCATCTCTATCCTCTCCTCCCTCCATCTGTTTGTCTTTCTACTCTGTGCACACCCCGTCTGCCCCTTCTTCATCTAGATTTGCTGTAAATGTTGACGGAAAGGAGGGAAAAGAGTGGGAACAGGGTAAAGAAAGGAAAGACAGTGGCAAAGGTAAAGAGTTAGAACACAGCAGGCCTGTGTCTGTCATGAGTTCCCTCAGCTACAGGAAACGCTCCAACATGAAGGACTCCATAGGAGGTAAGGGAGACGAAAGTTCGCTCCTCAACACCCTCAAAGAACAATCTGATTCCCAGGACCTCTCCTCCTTCCGCAAGAACAAAGCCAAGCAAGATGCTGAGGATGACTCCTATTCGGTCAACTCCTGGAGGAAGGCAGGAGATGATCTTGACGATCACGGTTCTGTCATCTCTCAGGCCTACTCGGAAGCGGCCAGTCGGGCAAGGAAGGGCATGGACAGCCGCTGGTCTGAGTTTGATAAGGAGTCCGTTGTGTCCTCTGTAGCCCCGAGCCGGGTTTCCACCTTCCGTACTGTGATGGACCTAGATGACGATGCTATTTCCAGCGTGAGTCGCATGAGTTCAGTAAGCCGGCGTCTGAGCATGCCTCGTCTTGATGATCGCCAGAGTGAATACGGTTCACCCATCAGCCCCAGCCTGAGTCGGCACAGCCCAGGAAGCCGTGCCGACTCCCGCATGTCACTGTCTCGCAGCTGTCGCCTCAGTGAATTTGACATGGACGATGATGCCCGAAGCACAGCATTCAGCGAGGGTCGCTCCAGTGCTTACAGCCCTCACTCCACCTCCGGCCGAAGCTTCTCCATGCCTCCGCAAGCCCGGACCACTGACTCCAGCCCGCCTGACGTCTTGGATGTCAAGCCGGTCAGTCACCGCAACTACCTGGACCCTGACCTGGAGGCCGCAATTAATGAAGTGTTAAGCTTCAAACCTATCAAGTTCAAGCGCACCAGCTTGGAAGAGTCTGAAGCGGAGAAAGATAAGCAAGGTGAAGTGGAGGATGACCGGAAGAGCGTCAGCAGCTCCAGGATCAGCAGAGACAGTGGCCGCTCTTCCAGCTTGCGCCGCTCTGCTTCAGCCGTGGACTTCATGCGTTCCAGCAGTAACCTCAGCAACCGCAGCAAGAAGGGCAAGAGCAAGAAGAAGAAGAAGAGAAGCCACAGCTCAGAATCAGACAGCTCTGACGATGACCGCAAGAAGAAGAGCTCCAAGAAGAAGAGTAAGAAGTCCAAGAAGAAGTCCAAGAAAGAGTCTTCGTCATCTTCCTCATCCTCTGAGTCTGAGTCTAGCACAGAGTCGGACTCCAGTTCAGGAGCATCCACTATTTCTTACAGAAGCTCCAGCAGTATCAAGAAAGCCCCTGGCAGGCAGGCATCAGGCTCTGAGGAAGAGCTGGAGCCCGAAGGCCCCTCTGAAGGAAGTCCCCCCGTGTCTAAGAAAGAGAAGAAGAGGAAGAAGAAAGTAGACAATCTTATGATGAAGTACCTGTACAGGCCTGACAGTGACTAAAGATAGCAGTAGGTGATACCTGGTGTGGAGTGAAGGAATGCAACAAGCATGGTGTTAAACTAATACTCAAGTACCTCAGTACCGTCTGATATCATTCATTGCGTTTTACCATAACTTTACTCTCTACTTTCAGTTTTCCTTTACACTGTGTTGATTCACTTTGTTACTCACACACATTTAAGTGATTTTTTTGTAGTTATTTATCAGTAGTTCTCTACCTTTTTGACTTGAAGGCCCTCCTATCTAAGCTGATATGTAGCTCTGTAGCTCTAAGTAACTAAACTTATATGATTTAAGACTTATTGGGGCCCCGTAGAAGTTTTCTGAAGCCTCCTTGTTGAGAACCACTGCTCTATATCATTAATTGAAATGTCTTTGTGATGTTGTATCTCCAAATAGCAGTGTAACTAAAGTTAGTTGGAAATTCTTTCTTTGGTCTTGGACATAATTAAACAGAAAATCGATTAGGACTGCTTGCCAGCAATTAACCTGAAGTTTGTATTATTATGACAAAGAGAAGATAAGACTCAGTGACACGAAAAGTTATCGTTGACTTTTGGAAGAGGGTGAGGTATTCATGCTTTCTCTACATCGGTCTGTTCGCTTTTGTATAATTAGAGGACACAGTTCATTTATATGTTAATTCACTGATAAGATTATGAGTAGACATCAAGAATATTTCAAGTTGTTTAAAATGGACCATAGATTTTTTTAGCAAGGGATTTTTTTATAATGCATCATTTTATTTGTATTCAACTCTGTACTGGCTTGACTGTGTATAGTCAAACAGCAAGAGGCTTGACTGCAATGGCACCTAAATCAATACTAGTAATATATTGCTGCTATATCAGTTATCAGTATATATTATTAGTTATTATACTGGATGTTTAAAGGGATAGTTCACCCAAAAATGAAAATTCTGTCATTAATTACTCACCCTCATGTCGTTCCAAACCCGTAAGACCTTTGTTCATTTTCGGAACACAAATTAAGATATTTTTATGAAATCTGAGAGCTTTCTGACTCTGCATAAACAGCAACTGAACTACCAAATTCAAGGCCCAGAAAGGTAGTAAGGACATCCTTAAAACAGTCCATGTGACATCAGTGGTTCAACCACAATTTTATAAAGCTACGAGAATAATTTTTGTGTGCAAAGAAAACAAAAATTCAAATTTCAAAAATGTCTTCTCTTCCATGTCAGTCTCTTTAGCCTCCGCCGTTCTGAGAACCCAGATGTGCTGCGCCTTGTTTACAATAAGAGGAAAACGCACACTCTACATAAAACTGTCTTCGTAACATGTCTGAAGATTTCAACAGAGAGGATGACTTTTTTGCCCAGCCTTATTTAAACCAGAATATACAGTCGAGGAACTAAGAGAGATGGACGTTCTATGTCAGAATGCATGCGTCATGGTATTTTATTTTTTTGCACACAAAAAGTAGCTTCATAAAATTACGGTTGAACCACTGATGTCACATGGACTATTTTAATGATGGTCCTTACTACCTTTCTGGGCCTTGAATGTGGTAGTTGCGTTCCTGTCTATGGAGGGTCAGAAAGCTCTCGAATTTCATCAAAAATATCTTAATTTGTGTTACAAAGATGAACAAAGTCTTACGCGTTTCGAAAAACATGAGGGTGAGTAATTAATGACAGAATTTTCATTTTTTGGGTGATCTAACCCTTTAATTGTTCATGGTAAATTCCCCCATTTGTACTTTTGATTTGTCATCTCATTCTTACTTAAAGGTTTAGTTCACCCAAAAATGAAAATTAGACTGTTTTATACTCACCCTTGAGGCATCCTAGGTGTATATGACGTTCTTCTTTCAGACAAATCCAGTCAGAGTTATACAACGTATATTGTATACAAGTACAGTGGGTACGGAAAGTATTCAGACCCCCTTAAATTTTTCACTCTTTGTTATATTGCAGCCATTTGCTAAAATCATTTAAGTTAATTTTTTTTTCCTCATTAATGTACACACAGCACCCCATATTGACAGAAAAACACAGAATTGTTGACATTTTTGCAGATGTTATGCAACACCCACTGACTGCGATGATAGAGCTTGGAATAGCCAGGACAATTTTTTATATAACTCTGACTGGATTCGTCTGAAAGAAGAAAGTCATATACACCTAGGATGCCTCGAGGGTGAGTAAAACAGTCTAATTTTCATTTTTGGGTGAACTAACCCTTTAAAGTTAATCTTCAAAACTCTAGTAATTTAACTAATATAATTTTTACAATTCAATTTACCACTGTTAAATGTAATCTTTAGCAAATCACAAAATGATTATCCATTTTTCATCTTGTACATAATGTTGTGATGCTTAAATTCACTTGTAGCATTCAAAATGATTGATTTAAGTTTTTATGTGTTTAACTTTTTATTTTATTTAGACAAAATAGTGTAGAATTTTAATATCAGGCATTTATACATTATCAGCCATAACACACAAAATAATTAACTTACCATTACAAAGTTTGGTATTTTCTTGGTATTTTTTGCTGTTTGCTTGTATAACTTCACTAACAATTATCCGATAAGGTGATGTTTCAGAGCACTGATTTGCATGTGATTTGTGTGGCTGCACCTCTAATGCGTCACCAACGATGATACTGAATTATAGGGCCTGTTAAATATTGTTACCCCACATTCAGAATTTTGATAACCCAACATTCCTTCAGAGATTATCCTCTTTGGTCTCTCTTTCCACACGCTGACCCTAATCAAAGCTTCTCTATCTCCCCCTCCAGCCCACCCTCCAGTCGCAGACGCTTCTGCCTTGACAGATCTGACGAGGAAGAGGAAGAAGAAAAAGAGGAAGGGAGCATAGGCCGAAGCACCTACCGCTCCCGCTACAAACGCAGCAGCTACCTGAACGACAGCGATGGCGAGACCACCGCGTAGCCGCCCCCCGCGCACACATTCACCTGCACTCACGTTCATAAAAAGGAGGACTTAATATCAGTGTCTTCCTTGAACCCGAATCCAGGATTTCAGCGAGAGAGGAGCATGATGGGACACACTCTGGCAAAGATATACCCCTCATTTCTTACGACTTGTTATTAGTATTATTTCACTTGTGCTTTGTGTTTAAAACTTTAAGGGGTTTGTACAGCATCATGAATCTCAGCACTGTTGACTCTTTCCTCTTTGTGTGCTTTTACTTCTGACGTTCTTCCTCTTCCTTTCTAAATAAGCAGTGACTAAACTAAACGCCGTGCTTGCATTCTTACTCCGGTCAGGATTCGGTAATGGATATTGCTTCAGGCAACACGCTACAGCCTCTTGCATGGTCAGGCCTGAGCCAAAGATACATGGCATCGTGTAAACGTGAAATTGCTGGATTTTTTCTGTTGTGCTAGATTTAAAAGAAAAGAAAACCAAGAGAAAAAGGCAAAGAAAGTATTGTATTACCAAAAAAAAAAAAGCAGCATTGTTTTAGGTATGTGAGCATATTAGTTTTTCGTTCTTGACTTGAGTCAAGGTGGGATTGATTTAAGACCACCTTCCTCTCTTCCCATCTTCGTGTTCATATGGTGAAGGATTCATGTATTTTGCTTGAGTAAGACAAGGAAGTCCATTTCTCCTCTAGGTTCTTCACTTTGTTTTGATGTTTTATGTGGAGAGGGAAAAAAAGCGATCAGGTCAATGATACGAGAAGAGGGCAGCGTTTCAGGATGTTCAGGTCTGGACTCTCAAACCTTTTCTTTTTTTTTTTTTTCTCCATAATATGCCTGTCTTGTTCTGTTTTGACTGAATTGACTAGGTGCTTGCTCATAGTAGACGTTGTATGGCTCAGCATATTTTTGTGGTTGTTGTTGTTCTCAGGCTTTTTTGTTTTGGTTATCATAGATGTCTGGCTTTCCCAAGGGAACGCCCATATTCTTGGCTATATGGGGCATTGGGGTAATTTATCATCCAACTCCACCGATGCTGGATAAACAGCTTCAAAGTTGCTTTTTGCGCTGATGTGATGCAACCAGAAGCACGAGATAGAGACGTTTGACAGAACCGATACTGTGAAATCCCAGCTTCCCTGCGGCATGTCGTCACATTGGATTCATCAGTATTTTTGGCCTTACCTAATGACTTTGAGACTCACTTGAACCTGTACGGACATGCACCCCTCTGATTTCCATCGTTGCCTTCTGTTGTTTTGTTGTTCTGCTTTCATTGTAGTATTTATGATCTAGCATTGATGGATTGAGCAAAGCTGGCAAAATATAAAGCAACAGCATATGAAATAGCGATGAAAGGAAGTCATTGCTTCTCTTTGATTTTTAAAGGGAGACCGCGTGTGTATTTTACATGGTTTTATAGACCCTCTGCAAAGGTCAACCACTTTATCCTCTTTTCTATGCAGTCAATATTGATTTTAATATGAAAAATTAGCATTTTATGAGGTTTCTGGCGAATTAAAACACGTGGCAACAAGATGCATAACGTTTGCTGGCTGTACACATTAATATAAAAATATATAAATATCTGTATGATTCATTCTAGCTTTCAGAATAGCTAATGTTTATTTTCTTTATTGAATAAATGACCACTTGATAAATAATAATTTTGCATTACAGTTTAATATATTGTAAATAAATGATGGTGATTGTTTTAGACTTGTTTCAACATGCTTATTTCATAATGCATTTTTTTTATTAGCAGACACAAAAGGGAAAAAAATCATTTCAGCATGTTCAACATTTCTCACATTTTAAAGCTGCAGTGTATTATTTCTGCACCATTAGTGGCATCAAAGACAATTTTTTTCAGTGAAATGATTTCAATAAAAAAAGAATAAACATTAATGAAATGGTTCATCTTAAAAGGTTTATCCTTAAATAATTAATTTATTGCAATGAATAATTGAAGTTTTCTAAATAGGTTTCATTAAACCTTTCATTATTTGGAATTTTTTTCATTATTTTTGACCCTGGACCACAAAACCAGTCTTAAGTCGCTGGGGTATATTTGTAGCAATAGCCAAATATACATTGTATGGGTCAAAATTATAGATTTTTCTTTTATGCCAAAAATCATTAGGATATTAAGTAAATATCATGTTCCATGAAGATATTTTGTAAATTTCCTACTGTAAATATATTAAAACTTAATTTTTGATTAGCAATATGCATGCTAAGAACTTCATTTAATTTTCTCAATATTTAGATTTTTTTGCACCCTCAGATTCCAGATTTGCAAATAGATGCATCTCGGCCAAATATTGTCCTAACTATCCTAACAAACCATACATCAATGTAAAGCTCATTTATTCAACTTTCATATGATGAATAAATCTAAATTTCGAAAAATTGACCCTTATGACTGGTTTTGTGGTCCAGGGTCACAAATATATAAAGCAAATACACAAATATGATGCTTAAATGCTAGGATAGGCTCCAGCATCACAGCAGCCTATGGACAAGCAGTTTGGAAAACATTATTGTTAATAACAAACAATAATCTGATTAATAATCTATTTGGCCACATTACTTTTAACTACATAACTTTTTGAGCCAATCACCAGTGCTGCAGATGGAATAATAATCACTTTGAAATGGCTCGAACACTGTATAGACCAATCAGAATAGGATCTATTTTTTATCATGTACTTTATTAAACGTTTCCCAAAATAAGAATGAAGTATATTTTAAATGCATGTCCTTGATTATGACATCCTGTCAACACACACACATACACAGGCACACAAACACTCATAATTTGTTGTCAGAGTTGGACTGCTATAATATAAAGAACTTTCCACAGACACGAGCAGCAACATAAAATTACAAGAGTGTTCAAGTTTGCACTGCAGATGACAGACAAAATATTTTTTTTCTGGATAGCTACAGCATGGTTGTAAAGAGTGAGCAGTGTGTGTGTGTGTGTATGTGTGTGGTTGTGTGTAGCCACTGCAGCATGAATGTGTTTTGAACATGAAAATAGATTGCCTACTTCATATCACCAGAGAGAAATCCAGACAGAGGGAAAGAAAAGCAGAGAATTTAAAATGAGTATGTGACGGACAGCTCCGAGTACAGAAATATAAAGACTCAAGGATGAAAGTAAACGGTCTTAGACTCGTGTTCATTTTTCATTCCACTTCTACAGCTGAGACAGAGCTGCTTACGTGAGATTACCAAAAAAAAATTATAATAAAAAAACCTTTGATGCTCAAGTCATTTGTACTGCTTTTATAGTACCATTTATTTATATTTAAAATAATTAAATGAAAATAAATAATTAATTTAAATATATACATTACTGTTCACATTTTTAATGTTTATTGAGCCTGGACCACAAAAGCAGTCTTAAGTCGCTGGGGTATATTTGTAGCAATAGCCAAATATACATTGTATGGGTCAAAATTATAGATTTTTCTTTTATGCCAAAAATCATTAGGATATTAAGTAAATATCATGTTCCATGAAGATATTTTGTAAATTTCCTACTGTAAATATATTAAAACTTAATTTTTGATTAGTAATATGCATTGCTAAGAACTTAATTTGGGCAACTTTAAAGGTGATTTTCTCAATATTTAGATTTTTTTGCACCCTCAGATTCCAGATTTGCAAATAGATGCATCTCGGCCAAATATTGTCCTAACTATCCTAACAAACCATACATCAATGTAAAGCTCATTTATTCAACTTTCATATGATGAATAAATCTAAATTTCGAAAAATTGACCCTTATGACTGGTTTTGTGGTCCAGGGTCACATTTTTGCTATAGGTTGAGCATATAAATGTCTCTTCTCAACTCTATTTTAAAAAAATGACACACAACAGCTTTTTTTTTTTTATTCATCCAAAGCTTTTATATTCTGATTTATCATGTTAGTAGGAAGATAAATTCTGCAATACTCGTCATTTCTGTAAGAGCAACACAATAATAGTGTGTTCTTCTCCGAGATCAGGTGAAACATCTGAATGGAGCCTTAAATTTCAGTATTAAAATCCAAAATATGCAGCCAAATTAGAGTGGAAAAGCCCTGCCTATGGTTCATATTCAACAAGCTTTTCTTTTCCATTGGCTGTTTGCTTCATTGCACAATAGGAAGGCTTGCAGTAATCTGTATGAACTAACAATAGGAAAGGCAGCTTACTGGGCGCAGAGCAGCTTGAGCTTTCCATTGGCTCCATCAGTGCAGTCAAAGCAGAGAAGTAGGTGAGATGAGTGTGAGCCAACAGCAGTCCTCTGCAAAATAAACCAGCATTTTATATTAAAACGCATTCAAATAAATGGCGACCATAGGCCCCTATTCTCTTGCCTAAAAGCTAACAATTATGATCCATATTTCAACTACACATTCAATAAATAATTGCTATCTTGAACACACATTTGAATGTACTTTTCAATGCCTTATGGATTATATGCAGATGTGCTTGAACAGAAACACCTACAGTACAAATGTCATGCTGTTTTTTTTAAGAGTCTGACCTTTATAGCCATTTATAAATGCAGGTTGTAAGCTTCAATTTTTTATAATGGACTGTTATTATGACAGCAGTACAAATCAATACAATAATATGGCCTTGCATAACGTATAGTGCTCTTTAAAAACACTGTGTCAGTCTGAATTTAAAGGTGCTGTGGTCTTTTCACAGGTGCGACCTTGCATTATGTTACACAAACCCCTGCTGTGCAGATAAATATAATTTATAGACAAGATGACAAAACTTCACATCAAACCAGTGTCTGTAAGACACCTGTCTTTTCAAAACCTATATTCAATACATTTTTTACTTTTTTTCTTTTGTATTGTTGGAATTTGCTAAATAATTCCTGGGTTTTAACTATTATTATTGATAATATTAATAGTATTGTTGTTGTTTTGCCGTGTTATTTTTTTGTATCATTTAATTGATATAAATTAAAAAGTTAATTGTATAGTAATATAAATGATAAAACTATTCAATTAAATTATTTATGAAACAAAATGTATATCAACTCTAAAATGATAACATTAATAAACATTTTATAAATGGTAATATTATGAAAATGAAGAATGTGTATCCATTTTATTATATAATGTGTATATATCATTATTAAATTTTTTTTTGTTTTATTTGGCCCAAAAAGCTAAATCCTTATTAATCTTAATCCCAATGGTTGACATGTGTGTGTGTGTGTGTATATATATATATATATATATATATATATATATATATATATATATATATATATATATATAAGATCTGCAAAGGTCAACCACTTTATCCTCTTTTCTATGCAGTCAATATTGATTTTAATATGAAAAATTAGCATTTTATGAGGTTTCTGGCGAATTAAAACACGTGGCAACAAGATGCATAACGTTTGCTGGCTGTACACATTAATATAAAAATATATAAATATCTGTATGATTCATTCTAGCTTTCAGAATAGCTAATGTTTATTTTCTTTATTGAATAAATGACCACTTGATAAATAATAATTTTGCATTACAGTTTAATATATTGTAAATAAATGATGGTGATTGTTTTAGACTTGTTTCAACATGCTTATTTCATAATGCATTTTTTTTATTAGCAGACACAAAAGGGAAAAAAATCATTTCAGCATGTTCAACATTTCTCACATTTTAAAGCTGCAGTGTATTATTTCTGCACCATTAGTGGCATCA